TCATGGAGACTTCGAAGAGCTAACCTAAGACAATAATTTCTCATTTGGATCATAGTAGACGGGTTAAATCGTGGAAACGATATTCAGAGGCAAGTTAGTCGAGTCTAGACCATCAGTAGATCTTAAATAAAACTCTTATTCATCCTAGGTCGGATTAAAAAAATGGAGAAGGGATAATCCTAGTCAAGATTTACTGATTGTCTCAAAAGCCTACTTTCTCTGAATATAAGTAGTATAGTCGATTGTAATTGCGAAATGCAATTTTGCCTCGTCTACCTTGTCACATTATTAAAGTGATGTGAGAGCGGCTTGGTTTTCCTTGAAGGTTACGTTTTCCCTGTCACCCAGGCTCACTTGTGCCAGTGTGGCGTAGTGGTGACGTGTCGAGATTCTGTTGCGTGGTACCACAACCAGAGTTCGAGTCCCGCTGGGGTTGCAGTCCAGTCCAGCAGAGTTTGGATGATAATGCCTGCTGAGAAGCGAGCATAAATGAATTCCACTGTAAAGGTGGGGTCCATTCAGGCTATTCTGGGAAAATGCAAATATCAGTCTTTCGTCATGTTATGCGAAAAAGTGAACTAAGTTGGGTTGATGTTTGTTAAGAAACCCAAGCAGTTGGGACTTTTTTTTACTTTCTTATTTAGTCATGCATATGATTGATCAAAGTAGGTTTTGTGAAATCTATGCTACTGATCAGTTTTTGTCTAGCAGATATCAATCACCGGCAACATAAAATATGAATATTGAGGAATATTTTATTTAAGAAAAAGACAATTAATTAGAATGCAGATAAATCGCTATTTACGGCAAGCGAGTCAACCAGACGACTATACTCAATTTTTGATGTTTTGCCACCCTTTCAGCTTCCCAAATAAGGCAAATGAACTGCTGAAGAAGTGGAACATCAGAACAATGTATGAAGATGTATTCGGCTCATTTCGTTTAAGTTGATGAAGGACTGGAGTAGGCCGCATGTTTCCATTGAACCTTATTTTTCTAAAGCTATTCCCATCCAAGCAAAAATCGACAGAAGTTTTGACCCCCAGTGGGACTCGAACCCGGATCATGGCAGTGCAGTGTATACTCTCGACACATTGATTACTGCTCCAGACCGCCACTAGTGCCCTTGTGTAGCAGGGCAGGTGTGAAGTTTACGGAGAAGCAGGCTTTTTTCGAAAGCACATTGCTTTGGTGGGATTGGCATGAAGCAGAGCTGTTGCAGAAATCAACTACACTACTTATTCTCGCTTTATAAGTAGATTACATCTAGATGAGAAGGACCATTATCCTATTTGATACCTTTTTAGTACAGGCGCAAGGCTGTGTGAAATTTAATGGAACAAAAGATTTCCTCAATATCAGTAACACATTCGTTTGCTACTAACTCATGCCTACATAAAATGACATTCATTTTACGCATACAAATCGGTTTTCCAAGAATCCCTTGCTACGTTGTGGTTGGAATAGCGCTCATTTCGTGTGAAGAGGCGAGTGAAAGCGATTCATGAGTTG